TCTATTTTTTTGGAAGACTTGATGCTAATTGTTATATAGATGTTCAGTAGAATTCAGCTTGAAACTTCCTGGTCCTGGGCTTTTCTTTTGGGGGAGGGTTTTGACTGCTGATGTAATCTCATCGCCTGTTTTATATGTATTCAAATTACCTATTTCTTCTTGAGTCGGTTCACTCACTTTAGATCCAAAGATACAAATAGATTGAAAGTGAAAGGATGAAAAAGATATACTTTGTGCAAAAGTAGCTGAAAGAAAGCTAAATGGCTATAATAAAATCAGACAAAATAGACTTGGAGTCAAATATTATTGGAAAAGACAAATAAGGGCACTAAATATTGATAAAAGATCAATTTATCAAGAAGCTATGACAATTATAAACACATATGCACCTAGCATCAGACCCTCAAAATATATGAAGCAAAAATTACAGGATTGAAGAAAGAAATAGACAGTTGCAATATTACAATAACAGTTGCAGACTTTAAAAAGTCATCTCCACTAATAAAAAATGAAGTAATACAACTAGACCAAAGATCAGTAATGACATAGAGGGCTTGAAGAATGCTACAAACCAGCTAGACCTAACAGGCATATACGAAATGCTCAACTCAACAACAGCAGAGTACACATTTGTCTCAAGTGCACATGGGACATTTTCCAGATTAGATCATATGTTAGGCCACAAAACAAATCTCAAGCCATTTAAAAAGATTGAAATCATACGAAAATATCTTCTCTGATTACAATGGAAAGAAACTAGAAATCAATAACACAACAAAAACTGGAAAAATAACTCAATAAAAAAGTTTAAAAATAAAAAAAAGTACTTAGAGCTGTGCCTGAAAAAACAGAAAGAAAGAAAAACTGGAAAATTCATAAGTAGGTAGAAGTTAAACAACACACATTTAAACAACAAATGGATCAAAGAATAAATCACAAGGGAAGTTAGAAAATACTTTGAGATGAATAAAAGTGAAAACACAGCAGACCAATGCTTATGAGACATTGCAAAAACAATGCTCACAGGGAAATGTATAACTATCAACACTTAATTTAAAAAGAAAAAAGATTTAAATCGAGAACCTAACTTTACACCTTAAGGAATCAGAAAAAGGAAAGCAGACCAAAGCCAGAGATAACAAAGAGGAGGAAATAAATATTGGAAAACAGATTAATGAAACTGAGACTAGAAAATCAATAGTGAAACCCTCGAAATCAATCAGTGAACCAAAATTTGGTTCCTGAAAAGAGCTACAAAATTGACAAAACTTTGGCTAGACTGACTAAGAAAAAAAGAGAAGTCTTAAAACTACCAAAATCAGAAACAAAACAGGTACATCTCTGCTGACCTTACATAAATAAAAACGCTCACAGTTGACCCTTGAACAACACAGCGGTTAATCCACATGGCCTTCTATTTCTGTGGTTTCTCTGCATCTGTGGATTCAAACAACCATGGATCAAGTAGTACTGTTCTACTTACTATTGAAAACTATCTGTGTATAAGTGGACCCATGCACTTCAAGCCTACATTGTTCAAGGATCAACTGCCTGTGAGACTAGTATACATCAAAACATTAGAAAAGCTAGATATAATGGAGAAATACATGTAAATTCACAAACTACCCAAACTGTCAACTTTCCTGGTGTTACTTCTCCATATGGCTTCAAGTTACTGTTTAGTGCCTTTTTATTTCAGCCTGAATTATCATTTCTTATAGGGCAGGTCTACTAGCAATGAACTCCTTCAATTTTTATTTATTTGGAAATGTCTTAATTTTGCCTTCATTTTTGAAGAATGCATTTGTTGGGTACAAATTTTTGGTTGACAGTTTTTCCTTTCAACATTTTAAATATGTCATCCTACTCCTTCTGGTCTCACAGTTTCTGATGAGAAAGTGGCTGTTAACTTTCTCTTTTGCTGCTTTCTGTCTTTGAATAATTTAGTTATAATGGGTTTCAGTGTGGATATTTTCAAGTTTATTCTACTTGGAGTTCATTGAGCTTCTTGGATGTGTGGGTGCATATCTTTCTTCAAGTGTGGGAAGCTTTTGGCCATTAGTCCTTCATATATTTTTTCTGCTCCTTCCTCTCTCTTCTCTACTTCTGGGACTCCTATTAAGTGTATGCTGGTGTGCTTGACTCTGTCCCACAGGTCTCTTAAGTTCTGTTTATTTGTCTTCATTCTTTTTTCCCCCATCTACTCCTCAGGCTGGAATATTTCAATTGACCTAGTTTCACGTTCACTAATTCTCTCTTTTGCCTGCTTAAATGTGCTGTTGAGCCCCTCTCGAGAAGTTTTCATTTTACTTATTGTACTTTTCAGCCCTGGAATTTCTATTTGGTTCCTTTTTATATTTTCTTTATTGATATTCCTTATTTGGTGAGACATTATTCTCTTGGTTTCCCTTAGTTCTTTGTTCACAGTTTTTTTTAACTCATAGACTATATTGAGAGAGTTTTGTCTAGTAAGCCCAATTCCTGGGTTTCCTCAAAAACGTATTCTACTAATTGCTTTTTTCACCCTGTGAATGGGTCATACTTTCTTCCTTCTTGCATGTTTCATGATTTTTGTTGAAAAATGGACATTTTGAATATTATAATGTAATAATTCTGGATATCAGATTCTCCTCCCTCCCTCTCATTTGTTGTTGCTGATTGTTGTAGCTTGTCATTTATTTATAGTGACTTTTCTAAACATTTAAGTTCTTCTATTTTGCTGCAGTTTGTTTTTTCTTGATGAAGAATTCGTTGGTTGTTGTAAACCTTTTGACTGTTTTCTGGAGTTCAGATAAAGATGATTCTAATAGTTTTGCTAATTTCCTCAGTGTTTCTGTGAAGGAGTGGGCCCTTAGATTTCTCTATTTCCTGTGTTTTCTCTGACATCACTCTTGGCAGGCACATATTTGAGGACATCGACAGGAGGGTGGAATTAAAATTACTTTGTTATTATAAGGCATTAACACTACCTGTGAGTTAGTGTAGTGTTATTTGAAAGTGAACTTGGATTAACTATAAATGTATATTGCAAACTCTACGATAACCACTGAAAAGGGGGGAGGAGAAGAAGTGTAACCAATATGCTAACAAAGAAGAGAAAAAGGAATCATATAAAATGCTCAGTTAAAACCACAAAAGGCAGGAAAAGAGTGGAAGATAAAAATAGAATCAAAGAACAAGGGCAATAAATGGAAAATATTAACAAATAAGACATTAATCCAACTACATCAAAAATCACTTGGCATATCAGTGGTCTAAATGCACCAATTGAAAGACCAATTGTCAGAGTGCAGCAAAAAATAAGAGCCAACTCTGTGTTATCCACCAGAATCTCATTTTAAGTATAAAACCACACATAGAATAAAAGTAAATGGATGGAGAAAGACATACCATGTTACTGCTAATCAAAAGAAAGCAAGACTAGCCATAATAACTTCAAAGAAATCAGATTTCGAAGTAAGGAAAGCTATCAAAAATAAAGAAGGATATTCCATAATGATAAAAAGGCCATCTCTCCAAGTGTATACAGCAATTATTAACATGTATGCTCCTAGCAACAGAGCATCAAAACATGTGAGACAAAAATGGACAGAATGGCAAAGAGAAATAGATGAATCCACTATCAGAGTTGAGGATTCAACATCGTTCCATTAAAATGGACAGGTCCACAGGCAGAAAATAGAACAGACATAGTAGGTGATACAAAGACCTTTACTCTTGTGTCCACTCCCACCTGTCCATCCACATGGCTGTTCCCAAGACTTCCTAGCTGCCAATCTTCCCATCTTTCTCCTTCCGAGCCATTTGCCACTGCCTATTAATCTAAGTGCACTCTACCCTCAGACCATCTGTACCTCCCAAAGTTCTGCTCATCGGGAGCATTTCCCTGATCACTGTCTTTCCAGGCAATCCCTTAGGGGGACTGCCCCACCTGCCAAGCCTACCATTTATCAACCGAGCTTGTGCTTTGCCATCTCCAAAATCTGATTGTAAAAGGCCTTCCATATGATTACAGTTGAGGGAGGGCTGCTGGCACAGCAATGGTAGGAGCCACTGGGGTCTGAGCTACCTGTTCATGCAACTTGCTTGGATCCCCTGGCCTCAGTCTTACCGTGGGTTGCTGCTGGATCCTCCCAACCTTATGATTTGGTGGGTCTGACAGAACACAGCTCAGCATGGGCAGTTTTGGTGCATGGTGCTCAGATATTCTATTTCTACCAAAGACGAGAACCTGCTTTTCAAAAGGTATATTCCCCCCTACTGCAGGTGGCATGGCCTTGCTCTGGAACCCCAGTGTCCTGAATTGTGAGCTTACCACTGGACCTTGTCACGAATCCATATAGTATCTTTTCCTACCACTCATAGTTTCAATACCATACAGTCTGCTGGCCCAACAGGGCCAGCTCGCTCTGGACTTGAACCTGCTGCAGACTCCTTTTTTTTAAGGCTTTACTCAAAGCTGACAGTCTTTGCATTACCTTATATGTGGGTCAAATTCATGTTCCCAGGTATAGAATATGTGTTATCTTCATCATACAGTGATGCCTGTCAGGCACTGGGCTTCCTTCTTAGTGGTGAAAAATACAAGACACGGTAATTTATCCTTTACCTTGAAGGGGATGTCCTAGCATGCCCCAGAATACTGGACTCTTGAACATTTTACTTCTGTGGCTGCTTTCGGAATCTCTGAAGAGTTTATCTCCAGTACTCTGGAACACATGTGTCTTACCAAAGCTCCCAACATACGAGCCACTTCTTGCTCATGAGGGTCCAATAGCCTGACAGTCACGATCCAGGGGACCAGTGTGACGTTTTGAAAGAGGTCTTGATGGTTCAGATCTGTTTTGACTATTTTATGTCAGAGGATGGTACAAAACCACAAATATACAGCTTCGCTTGTTTTTTTTTTATTTTTTATTGATTTATAATCATTTTACAATGTTGTGTCTCCTTCGCTTGTTTGATATGGATGTGAACTCTTTATGATCCTCTCCTATGATAGAATGGAAAAGTATATGTCGACTGAAAAAAGGCATAACCAGAAGTTGAAAGTTATGTTTTATTCAGCAGATTTTCTGAGAACTAGAGCCCAAAAATTGACCTCTCAGGTCACTATAATAGACTGCTCCAAAGAGGCAAAGGAGGAGCCAGGATGTATAAGAGTTTTTGCAACAAAGACCAAATAGTTGGAACATCAAAAGATAACTGTTAATTAAAGAAAACCAGACATCTCAAGTGAAGGAATTTAACACTTTCGAGGCGTGGGAAGGTGCAAAAGTCCGGGCTTACTGAAATCACTCCTTTGATGTGCACCTTAGCTGTCTAGGGCCAGTGTCCTGTTCTTTTCCACCCTGAGTTCCCCAGGGTGCCCCACTGCGGGTGGCTGCAGGGGCCGGACTCACAGTCAGGGGTGGCTGCAGTGTCTAATGACTTGACGGCCACCACATCCTTTGTTTACTGATCTGGCTGCAGTATTTCTCATTTGCACATGCGCTCACCAAATCGGCAGTTGCTTACTGCGCACTGAATCCTGGGTGAGGCTGCTCCAGCAAATACAGCACATCTGTCACAGCAGCTGCAACCTGGGCTGCTCCTTGGCTGAGTTTGCAACAGTTCGCCGTCATTTTCAGGATCTGTCTGGGTGTTTCAGGGGCCGCACTGGTGAAAGGAGGTGTTATGGGAACCACCCCCACATCCTCCTGGTCTTTAAAGCAGCACTAATTTCAGCCATTATTCCCAGGTTGCAAGGCTGATTTTGAGTCCCTATCTTGACCTGTGGTGGGGGAGGGAGGGGGAAAGCAGATTCAGAGGCTTCACCTCCACCTCTCTTAATATGATCATTCCTTCCAAAGCCTAGAAATCAATGTGGGGGGTCTTTTAAACACCAAGGACATCCATTCCCACTATACATCCAGGGACACAGGAATGACCACTGGGATGGTCTGTGGGCCCAGTGGACTCACTCTGGGCTGAGTGTTGGCTACACTAAATACCTCCCTTCCTTCCGTCCCATGTTGACAGGGAGCCCATAATGATGTTTCAGGACTTGAACTCTGTGCTCAGCAGTCCTTGAGATGCTGGGGCAGTTCCCTTCCTCAGTGAGCTGCTGCACAAGTCAGTGCCTGGGGGGAAGGGCTGCGGTGGCTATTACCACATACTCGTGTCTTGACTGTAGGAGTCTTCCTTCTGGGGTGGGAGCATTTACATCAAGGAAATGGGCAAACACTGCAAACCACGACCTTTTTTTGGAAAGCCGGTTTCCTAGCCTATCACTGCATGTTCTCCAAAATCTGTCAAAACAAAACAAAACACCTTCTCCCAAACCCTAAAATAACAGAAGTAAAAGCTTGTCAATCAGGAAGGGGAGGGCAAACGCCTCGATAGAAATCTGACCTCTTGCCTAGTTCCTGGACCAGAGCCAGTCCTCTGCCTGCAGCATCTTGACTATGTCTGATGAGAAGTTGTCAGCAGTGTAACAGCCAGCTTGCAGACATTCAATGCTTGACTCCTGCAACGTAGCACAGGTCAGCTCCGGACGGTTCCAGCACAGTGGCTGGCGGCAACCTGGCTGGCTGTCCGGCACTTCCCCGGAGGGAACCTGTGTCCTAAGAACCACTTCCAGCTACTCCCTGTAAGATTCGTTCACTGAGGTCTGCCTTTCGCCGCAGTTCCCTCTACCTAATTTTTAAAAATTTCCTCCATGAGTAATAGTTTCATTGTTTTGGTTTATCCTTCCCTTGCTTCTTTAATGCAACCAAAAATCTGTGTGTGTTTACTCCCCCTTTTCACACAAAAGGCAGCGTAGGAGACACACTGGTCGGCACCTTGCCTTTCTCCTTCCCCATGTACCCCGGGGACCACTCCGCAGCGGTATACAGAGACCCCCTCACTGCTTTTTAAGGCTGTGTGGCTCTCCGTATGTGAACGTAACACAGGTTTATTGATGGAAAGCTGATTTTCCTCCGGCTACTTCGCTGTTCTGAATAACTCAGCTACGAGCAGACGTCGTTTACTGTCTTTGCTGGTGTATCTTTGCGATGAATTTCTACAATTTGCTTTATTATTTATTGTTTATCTCTGGACCAAGAAGTAGTTTTCCCTGATCCTGTCAAACTCCCCCGTGTCCTGGGTTGCTCCATTTTGCACTCCTGTAGGGTGTGAGAAGGCCAATTTTTTTTGTCCAGTTTTTCCAATTGCACATGTCATCAAGATTTTGACTTTTTGTCATTCTGGCAGCTGGGAAACAGTATCTTTTGTAGCTTTTAAAATATTTACCTTCCCCTTAACATGAGTTTGAGCATCTTCTTGTATGTTCAAGCCCATGTGCGTGTCTTTTTCTGTGAATTGCTGTTCGTGTCTCCCGCCCATTTAAAGTCTTGATGTGCTGGTCTTTCCCTTCCCTGACTTCTGGCAGCTCTTAAATATTAGTGACAAAACACATTTTCTGTGGTACAAGTTGTAAACATCTTTTCCTAACTTGTTTTTTGTCTTATACTTTCCTTATGGCATTATTCTTTCTATCTATCTATCTATCACTTACCATCTTTCTATTTTAATGTAGAGCAAAGGGAACAAAAGATAGTTGAGAAATTCCACAGCTCACTGATGGTTCTGTCGCTCCTATTTTAATTCAAGTTTCTTTACTGTGCAATCAAATCTGGTTCTCGGCAGTTGTCTGTAGAGAAAAAATAAATGCTCACTGAATGGAAAAAAGCATGAAATGCTTTATTCCAGTTGGAGAGCCTGTTTCTAGTTCCCACAAGTGTCACCTTAGAGATCTCAATTGCCTTCACCTGTACAAGGGGGTAATGATGCCTGTTGGGCCAACACCGTGGGGCTGTGCCCAGATGCTCTCAGACCCCATCCCCACACCCGTGCGCCTCCTGGCTTCTATGTGGGTTTGCCTGGGACAACCCTCACCTGCAGGTCTCCTTGGAGGACCACCTGGAGGAGTCACTTTGCCACACATCTTAGCAAGTCTGCAGTGCGTGGGGATTTCCATCCTCCCGGGCCCCACTTCCACCAGCCCAGGCTGACAGGTGCACCCCAGCTTCCGTTCTCTGAGACGTGACGTCCACACACTCGGTGCCCCCCCGGAATCAGGCTGGGACTTGGCCTTCTTCTGGTTCCTGAGCTGGTTGTTCATCCCGGTCCCTTACCAGGCTCTCCTGGAAGCACTTACTAAGTGCACGACTTGTGCTCCTGGGGAACCTGCCTCACCTCCGGGCCGTGAGGATGGCGACGTGACAGTGTGCGAAGAGCTCTGTGTACAGGTGACCGGGCACCCCTACCACCACACCCGAGCTGCAGTCAGTGTGACGGCTGCCCGGCACTGCTGCCCCTGCCCGGGCCCGTGCCCCCCTCGCCTCCCTGCCCACGCCTGAGCTCCGAGGACTTTCCATGATGCCACTTCCCGGCCCCTCCTTGCATTCAGAGCCTCACTCTTCGAGGCTCAAATAACTTCACCTTCCTTTCAAATCCTTCCTCAATCTGCCTCCGCCCAGCTGGTGCTTCTCTCCTCTGAATTCCCATGAAGCGTCTCCCCTGGGCCGAACTGTGTACTTCTTAAGTACAGACTATCTTGGTCTTTAATCTATTTCAGGTATAGAAATCTGGTCTGTCTAACATGACAGCACACATCCTGTCAAGATGCTTAACTGCTGTACCTCCCGGACTCACAGCCACATTTCAACATCTCTGAAATGGGGAGGCATTTTCTAGATGACGGCGTAGCGTAGTTCAGGTGGCAGCCACTGCTTTTGCTTAGATGTTCATAAAATGATAGAGCATCTAACTGTGCGTGAGATCTTTAGTCTTGAGGAAACATGGCCTGTCCAGGCTGTGTGTGTGCACACGTGTGTGCGTGTTCCTTAGTACTTTGCCCCAAATGGGTCCAGCCTGAGCATTAAACACCCTGTGATGTGAATTATCTGAAAGCCTCAGGCAAAAGAAGGTGCCTAAGCGATTGTAGCCTCATCAGATCACTTTTTGAGTTTCAAAAGCAAGCGCGAGCCCTTCAAAGCCAAATGCATGTCCTGAAGTCAAATAGAAAAGGGATATCCCAAAGGAGGAAGCACTGGGCACTAACTGTAGACAAGCACCACGTCTCGCGACAGAGTACACAACCAACAGCCTGGCCCTGAGCCCTCCGGAGCGCGCAGCCGGAGGGCTGGCCCGGGTCAGGACAGAGGAGCCCGCGCTGGAGAGGCGCGAGCCCCGGCCTCTGGGCTCCATCCCCCAGCCCGGCGACGTGCGTGAGCAGTCGGAGCTGCCTACAGGGGTAGTAGCAACAGGAATTCTATTGTTGACAATTATGGGGGCAGACGAGCCGGCTCCTCACTGCTGGATTTGCGGTGCCAGGGTGGGGAGCAGGGCGGGGAGGACAGAGCGGGGAGTCAAAGGTTTCGTTGGGCCCCCCACCCCCAAACCCCCGGAGCCCAGCCTTACACAACCAGTGGGGCTCGGATTTCTCTGGGCGGCCAGCCCTCTGGAGCAGCTCTTCCTGAAGGAGGCGGCGGGAGGGTCCCGCATGGCCTGTGTCGTGTGTCCGGCTGCGGGGTCAGTGGGTGGAATGCAGCCGGGTGGGTCTGCCCCAGGCTGAGGATTTGCAGAGCAAGGGCCACGAGGAGGGAACCGTTCTCACTTCTCAGGAGTCTCACCCAGCAAATCGGGTCAAAGGCTTCACGTGTCCACCCTCAGGAGTCCGGAGTCTCCGGGGCCCCGGGCAGGGCGTTCTTTCCCGGGTATATGCTGGTCCCTGAGCTGACCCAGCAGACCTGGGAGCGAGGCTAACTCACCTGGAATGTAAATATTTGTGCTCAGGGTGCTGAGTTCATACCAACATCAGTGATACTTGGTGTGCGTTCTTGTAAAACAGGAAGAAAACCAAAACACTTCTCGGGTGAAACCCAGCTCTGTTTCAAGTGAGGACACCCGCTCCCACCTCCAACAACAGATGATTATCTCATCAGAGTCAGAAAAGTTTTCCAGTGAAATCTTCCTGCCCTTTCCACCTCCATGTACTGGCAATCTTGCCGCCCTCAGCCGGGCAAAGAGTAGGATAGATCAGGAGGGAGGCCTAATTTAGAGTAAAAACAAAAGGGAATCAATCAAACAAACAAAAACTGGGGTCCAGAGAAGCCAAGCTTCTGCCTCTATGTCGCCTAACACGACCCAGACACTCAGCCTCATCAGGGGAAGCTGGCCCAGGAAGCCGGTCAGCGGTCACCCCCTGTGTCTTTACAGCAGGGCCTTCAGCCCAGGTCTCTTCTGATCAGATGACAAAGCCTCCGTGTAAACTCAGGTGCATCCTAGGAGCGTTCCCCTGCAAATCACATGCTCCCTGACCAACCCAGGTTTCATAATGTCTTTGTCTCCTGTTTTAAGAAGTCACGTGGGAGGCCCTCCATTTGGGCAGTGACCCAGTGATGCCATCATGGACCCTTGCCTTTTCCACGTCTCTGCTCCACCCTCCTTCAGGTTGGCTTTCATCCCCCAGGATATTGCTTCATGATTGTATGGTGGCTGCTACAGCTCCGGGCATTGCTTCTGCAGTTCATGGAGGAAGAAAGAATGGGAGAAGGAAGAGTGGTGCCTGTTGCCGGGAAGTAATAACTTTCTCAGAAGTCCCAGCAGATTTCTGTTTATGTCTTGTTTGCCAGAAGAGTCAGGTGGCCACCCTTAGCTTCGTGTGAGTCTGAAAAGGTGAGTACTTTTGCGGCACGTGTTACCTGCCTAGACATAATTGGAGTCCTGTTAGGATGCAGGGAAATGGATACTGGGTTGGCGACTAATGGTGCCTGCCCCTGTGGGTCAGTGAGGACACCAGGATCCCTGCCCGGCGGTGAGGTGTGCGCTTTAAGAAGCTGTCAGTTCCTTGTGGGGCGGGACTGGCACGTACCATCCGGCCCTGTTTTCTCTGTGTCTTGCAAAAATTATAGTCTTAATTGCTAAACTCTCCCACTCTTCAGGGACTGTTAAGAGAACTTTTGCTTTAAAGAACTGAGAATGTCAGACACTGGTGTCTTTTGGCAAAATTAGGTTCTGTCCAGCCCAGCTGGAGAATTCCAGGTGCTGGGAACAGAAGACACAGGAGGGCGTGAGGCTCTACAAGGCAAAAGGAAGAGATGGGGCTTCTTTAGCATGTGAGTTCCCCTTGATGGGGAAGAGGGTCCCAGGGCCCCCCCAGGGTCCCCTGCCCCACATGCCCAGGTCCCACCCTGCTTAACCCTGGTTAACCCTGATTTCAGACCAGGCCCTGTGGCTTTAACCACAGTCAGTGGGAAAACCACGCCCCTCACAGTGACGACATCCTGGATCCAACTTCCCTGACCCAATTCTATCCCTGAAGAGGAAACCTGAATCCCAGGTTGTTAAAAACTTACAGTGAAATTTGGCAGATGCTGACACAGCCCTGGTGACACGCAGCACTGCACTGGGCAACTTGCCTGCAGCCCGGAGGAAACTGAGGCTCTCACTGATCTTGGCAGCCCCCCGAGTCCCCAGTTTGCACCCACACACGTTCTCCCAGACAGGACTTGCGCGGGGCTGTGGTCCGCATCTCCTGGGGTGTGGTCCTGCTCCCATCCACTTCTGTGGGCTCTGTGTTTGGGTGACTTAGCTACTTGGCTTGTTCTCCAACACAGCATCTCTGGTCACCATCATAAATGCAAAGGGACAGACAGACAGACAGACAGAGATAGACACAGAGAGACGGGGAGAGACACACAGACAGAAAGAAAGGAGAGGGAGCGTATTCTTCCTCCTGTGGACCAGGTGCTTTGCGGCCTCCTTCCTGTGCGTGCTGCCCAGCGCCTGCCGCAGACGCAGGGCGCTGCTCCCTGATGGGTTCAGAAGTGCGATTCCAGCTGCCAGGGGACAGACATCTGCGTGCTCCCTGACTCCCAGGGATTCCCAGGGGGCACAGCCACGCAGGCGTGGGGAACGCTCCCTCCCCGGCATGTCAGAAGGCCCAGGTACCTCCTCTTACAGCGAGACATGAGGCTGGGCTTCGACCTAAAGTCCACATGAAGAATGGCCTAGTGGTTATGAATTCACATGAAAGACATTTTTCCCTCTACCCAGAACCAGCCCACAGCAGGGGACTTTGCCGGCCGTCCCCTTCCCACGGTGGGTGGATTGCTCGTGCGCCCCTCGGGCGCAGCCTTTCCAGACAGCAGCCTTCTGCTCAGGCCTCCCACAGCCTCCCCCCTTGGAGGACTCGCCACTCTCTCTCCTGCCTTCCGGCTCCGCGTTGCTCCACCTGCTCATAAACACAGAGAGTTCCCATCCCCACTGGGAAGGACAGTCCCCCGGGCTGCAGGAGAGACACCATCTCCCACTGGGCTTGGATGCCCCAGGGTGTGTGTCTATGATTAATGTGCTCCAGGGCCAGAATGACCTGGCTGCCCCTCTGTTGTCCCGGTGAACATTTGGCTTAATTTAGGAGAGGGGAGGGGATGACGCCCGGGTGCTCTGGGAGGAGGTGATGAGTAGAGTGTTCAGGTAACCCACCTGTGCTCCGAGCGGCGACCTCAGGAGGAGGACGACCAAGGAGGAGCTGAGGGGGGTTCTCCCTGCAGTCAGCGCCTCCGGGAGCCTCCTGGGCGCAGCTGTGAGCGAGCGCTTCTCCAGCTGCCCCACCAGCTCCCCGGCCCCTTTCCACCTGCGTCTCTCCTCTCGCCACTTCTGGGGCCCCTCTGTTCAGTCTCGCTCATCACAGGTGGGGCCCAGGGGTGGGGTCTGCACCTGGGAGGGGAAAGGGAGCAGCCCAGGGCCCGCCTAGAGGAACTTGTCCCCTGGGTTTCGCCTGCACCCTGGGAACCAGCAACTCTGGAATTAACCTCTCCGCTCAGGTGCTGACTGGCTCCGTGACGTTAAGGTCCAGAGGTGTTTGCTCAGTTCATTCCATAAAATGAAAATAGCGCTCCCATCTACTTTACGAGAACGGTGTGAAATGAATCCAGCATTTTAAAGCGCTGTAAAATATGCTGGAGCCCGACTACAATTAAAATGCCGTTCAGAGTAACGTCAGCTGGATCCACCCAGAGAGGGCTGAGGCCAGAGGGCCCCCCCATCCCTCGGTGGCTCCCTCCCCCGCCCTGCTGTCTCCCCACCCCCTCCCCCCACCTGCCTGGAGGAAGGCCACCCGTCCACCTGCCCGGGTTCTGTCCTCCTCCTAGAAGGCCACCCACCAGTCTCTGTCTCCTCTGGTCCTGTCCTGTCGTCCAGGCTTTTCTGGTCTCATCAGCATTTACAACTTATGGGGCCCATGGCTCCGGAGTGTTCAGAACCACAGTTTGTACCCTAAATCTGGACCTGCTGCTGTAGAAAGATGGGGTCAACATGTCCACGTAGTGTTTGCTCTCGAAGCTGAGTTCAAGGCAATTGACAGTGAACTTAGGAGGATGTGGGCGGGCAGCAGGGTCTGTGACAGGTCTGGGAGGCAGAACCTGGGGCTGGGCTGGCCCCAGGAGGGAGGCCTCAGTCTGGGGGACTAGACTCCCCCGCGGGAGCCCCCACAGAGAAGTGGAGGTCCATCCCCAGTGGCCGCACAGGCGGTCCCTGCAGGGCCAGGAAACGCCAGCGCGTGGTCTCTGCACAACACTGTGCTGATCCTGAAATGAACACACACTCCCTGGAGGGGGCTCAAGCCCCCAGAAGCCCGCAGGGCAGGTCACTTTCTTGGTTCACTGCGACATCCTGGTCCCAAACAGCAACTGCTGAGATCCCTTGGCTGCTCGGCCCAAGGAGATGGAACCCAGGGCCAAGGCCACAGGAACCAGAGGGGCCCTGGCCGCAGGTGTGCTCTTCTCCCTCCAGGGGGAGGCCCTCAGAGAGGGCCGATCTCGGGCACAAGTGGAGCTTCTTGGGGTCCCCAGAGGGACTGCTGCACACACACCGTGGCCCATGGGCCAGCAGCTCACTGTCATCCGTCCCAGAGGAGGGATTGGGCAGGTGAGAGTCGATCCTAAAGCCAAATTAGGTGTTTCTGTGGCTCTTAGGTACCAGATTTCTTCTCTGGGGCTTACAAGGGAGGCAAGGCCAATCCAGCAAAGATGGCAAATTGAACACAGATTGTCTTCAGGACCCTTCCATTCCCTCCTGGCACTTTAAATCCCTCAGCCTTTGGAACCCAGGTTCTCCCCCAACCCTTCTTTTTTCTATACAACCAGTGGGGTAGGAGGAGGGCAAGCTATTACTAATTCTCACTCAAGTATAAAGGACTGATAAGGATTGTCATAAGAGAATCCCCTTTAACAGAGAAACTCATCTCTAAAAGTGGCCCCAGGCTATTATTGGCCCTCACTCATTCCTCCACGGTCATTCATTTAATTTCACTGGAGAAGCAGATGAAATCCCCTCCCCTATGTGGCAGGACCCAGGACGTGCTTTACCTCTGTGTGGGCCCCTGCCCCCACAAGGGTTCCCAAGGCTGAGGTCCTGCTAGCTCTGAGAGAGCCCCACTTAGATAACTGAGTAGAAAACAGAGGACAGCTAGAGGGCTGTCCTTTCCTCCCAGGAAAAGGCCAGAAGGGCTCCCTTGCCCCTTTGCGGTTCAGGTTACAAATCAGGATTCAGGGAGTTCGGAGGGAAGCCAACGGTAGGGCAGCTATCGGAATAACTCAGCCACAGCCAGATCTAATTTAAGGAAAAGCTGGGGGATCTTTAGCTCAGTGGTGAAGAGCTCCTGGAATTCGGGCTCCCCCACGCACCAGCCACTGGCCTTTGGGCAACGTGTTTACTACCCCTAAGCCTCAGCTTCCTTATTCATAAAATGTGCTGGTGGCAGCCCCTAAGGTTTGCTGTGGACACTCACTGTGGTAAACGTATCAAGCACTTGGGACGGTGCGTCCTTTGTCTGGCCTCTGCGTGGCCATGCTGCTCACCTGGGCAGGGACAGGTGTAGAGAGAACGCTGCAGACGGATGTCATCTGGCCCCACGGACCACCCACAAAGGATGTGCATGCTGTGAAAGCATTAACCCTGGAGATGTGAGCCCCTCTGGAGGTCAGGGAAAGTTTCCCCAAGGGACGAGGGCTTTGAGGCCAGAGCTCAGGTTGATTCAGCCGTGTCAATGAGGTGAAGCAGCGGGAAGAGTGTCCAGGTAGAAGGAACAGCATGTGTGGGACTCCTGAGGCGAGAGGGAGCGTGCAGTGAGCGTGAGGGGAGGGGAGGAGCAGGGAGAGGGCGCGTGTGCTGGGGGGTGGAGCAGCTTCCTTCGGGGGTTTGTCCTTGTTCTAAACTACTGGTTTTATCAGGAAGGGGACATGCTCAGACGTCAGAGTCTCTTCATTTTCTCCTCTTTCCCCATATGACTGCCTGCATTAAATCTAAATGTCACCCTAAAATCGATATTTTCTCAGTCTACAAATAACAAATGATGGAGAGGGTGTGGAGGAAAGGGGAGCCCTCCTACACTGCTGGTGGGAATGCAGTTTGGTGCAGCCATTATGGAAAACAGTATGGAGGTTCCTTAAAAAACTAAAAATAGACTTATCCTACAATCCAGCAATCCCACTCCTGGACTTACATCCAGAAAAGATGAAAACTCTAATTCAAAAAGATACATGCAACCCAATGCTTACAGCAGCACTATTTACAATAGCCAAGATGTGGAAACAACCTAAATGCCCATCAACAGATGCATGAATAAAGATATGGTGTATATACAGTGGAATACTACTCAGCCATTAAAAAGAATGAAATAATGCCACTTGCAGCAACATGGATGGACCTAGAAATTATCATACTAAGTGAAATAAGTCAGACAGAGAAAGACAAATATCATGTGATATCACTTATATGTGGAATCTAAAATAGGACACAAATAAACTTACTTATGAAACAGAGAGTCACAGACATAGAAAAAAACTTACGGTTACCAAAGGGGAAAGGGAACCGCGGAGGGATATGTTGGAATTTGGGATCAGCAGATACAAACCACTCCATATAAAATTGACAAACAACAAAGTCCCACTGTACAGTACAGGGAAATGTACTCCACATCCTATAATAAACCATAATGAAAAACAGTATGTATACATGTATAACTGAATCACTTTGCTGTACACTAGAGACTAACACAATATTGTAAATCAACTACACTTTGATAAAAGAAAGAAAATAAAATTGGTGTTTTCTCCATTCTTCTACATTGGAGTACAGTGGTCACTTTTATTACACCAAGAAATTAATAAATAACGTCATATCTAAAACTGAATTAGAGTGAGCGGGCCCCACACCGAGCTTTGGGTCGTTGGAGAGGGATCCCCAAACCCAGCCCGGTTTGGACACAGCCTTTAGGAGGAGGAATTTGAAAGGCCCGCTGACAATTGTTTGAAAGACCACGAGAGACATCACCCCACAGCAACCTGCCTATGTTTCCCAGACGGGGACCCTCCAGCTCACAATACCACCAGACGAACTGTGTTATCTGGGGGATGTACTTCACAGCAGAATTTTGGGGAAAGGAGAGGAGTGACGGGGAGAAAGGAAATGTGCTGCGTGTTAAGGGCAGTTTTTCAGCAGCAGGAAATAGGGGTGGTTATCTTGGAGCCACTGGGGATGATAAGTCATGCAAAAGGAAGAAGGCTTGGAGAAGGAGAGGGGGCACCCCGAGGAAGTCACACTGCACTAAACTGTCGAAAACCATTTGAAGAAAAAGCCGAGGAAAAGAAAACCCAACAGATGAGCAACAAGGAAACAGCCCGGCATTGGGGGAGCTGCCCTTTGCTCTGCTTTCCATGGACCAGTGACTCACACGATCACATGAGTCACCCCTGGAAACGGCGCATTTTGCTACACTCACTTGAGAAATACAAAAAGGTGTCACGGATGGGGTAAGTGCATTCTGGGCATTTCCTATGACACGGCAACAATGATTTACTGACTGGGGAGAGGTGAAGAGGACCCGAGTCACCGCTGGAAAGGCCAGACCTGGGGTGCACGCTGAGTTCAGATCTGATTGCAAACCCCACGCTCCTGGCTGGCCTCTCTCCGAAAAGAGACGGTGAGTCAATCCAGGATGCACCTAAATGTGAATTTGTAAACGCTCGCTTACCAGGAAAGCACGGTCCTTAAGCTGAAAATATGTATCAAGTCTAAAATCAAAGAGAATGTTAGTATCTATTTCTTTCTGGAAGGTATGTACAATGAAGCACAGTAGAAAAAGGCAATTTTGCCTTTTCCCTAATCTTGCATTTCAGGAGAGAAAGAGAGAGAGGGAGAGAGAAGGCAGAGGCACCTGTTGCAAATACTCCCAAGTGAAAACGTTCCCCCTCAGCCCCAGGTGGATGCCTCTTTTCCTTGTCCCTTCCCAGCTTCCTCGCTGCCTCTGACTCCTCGGTGGTGCTACTCCTTCCCCTTCCTCATTCCACCCCTGCGAAGGCGCAGTCACCTGGGGATGCGCCACCCCTGGGGCTCTTCCCTGACCTGGCTCCCTCCAGGTCCTGCAGGATCTCTTTCCCGCCTTCCAGGCAAACTTCCCAAGCCCGCAGCTTCTCACAGCCCCCTGCCCCCGTGTCCAGCCGTCAGGTGTCCATTTAGACTTCGACGGAAATTTCTGGAGACCTAACCACCACCCAACCACCTAACCCCAACCGCCTCCCCAACACCATCGCCTTGGGGGATTTAACATATAAATTTGGGGGACACAGACATTCAGACCATAGTGAGGTCAGAGTGGACGCAGCAGACACAGGGCCACAGGGGACAGAGTGGACAGCATCTGCCGCCGTAGGTGCCACGCCCCAGCGTTGGTGACCCACCAAGGCAGCGTTTCGTTGCATAAACAAGCCCAGCCCTTTAGGAGTTTCGGGTGGGGGAGGAGCTACAGTGAGGGCAACGGTTCATAATTCTCTGTCCTATGGGCTGATTGTTGGGTTCTTTTTTTTTTAAGTTTACTTTCTTATCTGTAAGACAAACTCTGCCAACACTGGATTTTGGTTAAAATGCAAAATGCTGTGAGCCATGT